TCCAGGCCAGCCTCAGCAACTTAGGGAGACCTCAAAATGTCTACAGAGGCCCTGGGTTCAGTCCTCAGCACCCATAAAGATGAATGAATAAAGGGGTCTGTGCAGCTGCAACCTTAGAAAGGGCTGGGGTGGCGCTCGGTGGTAATGTGCCTCTGGGCCCAGTCCTCCCCTTTGGAGGGGGACCCTCCAAAGCTCCTGCGCAACTCCACCCCCCTCGGTGGGGACCCCACCGGAGCTGGCTTCTTTAATTCAAGTCCAGAGAAGACCTTCGTCTTTCAAGGCTCAAACAGGAGCTATTGGTTCTTCCAATTCCGGGTTTGGGGCGCGGGACCTGGAAGTCACACCCCCCCCCATGTCTGAACTCGGTAAAACTTTCCCCGCCCCCGAATTTCGAAGTAAACCCCAAACCTGGGGGAGGGTACTGGGGAGTCGCAGTGGAGCACCCACGGCACCGAGGTTCTGCGGAGAGAAGGGGCCCATCCTCGTCCCGCCCACGTGGTAACTGGTCGGACGGGTTCCCAGAGGCCGGCTCCTGACCCTTTGACCCCGCCCGGGAAGAACAGCCGACAGGCAGCGCCTTTACTCAAATTGTCTTTATTCCCTGACATTTCTATCAAAACGCCAGGTGGATGGGGAATTCAGAATTCGTCACAGGAAAGGTAAACACCCTACAAAAGCCCTGGAGAGTTCCCGCCCTCCCCCGGCGGGCCAGTCCGGCCAGCGGCGGCTCCCGGCTCAGCAGGAGCGCACTTTGGACGCCGCCTCCCCCACTCCGCTTCCGAGGTTCAGACCCGGCATTCGCTCTGGGGGGGATGGTGTCCGGGGGTCACGTTTGGGACTGGGACCACACTCGCCACCTCCTAACGCACCAGAAGAGAAAAATTTTCAATCCAAAGAGTTCGGCTGCGAGGCGCTCCGCAGCAGCAGCACGCGGGGGCGAGTGACTCAGGCCGCGCTCCTCCCGCGCCCCAAGGCTGACCCACAGCCCACGCAGCAGCAGGAAGCTCCCCACGCCTGCCCCGTGACGCAACGATGACCGCTTGCACAAGTATGTCGTGGAGGGGGTCAGGGAGTGCCGGGGTCCTCTGCGCTTGGCGGCGCGCACATCGGCTGCTGGAAACCCCGGAGGGCAGCGCGGCCCCGTGAAAAGTGAAGTCCGACCTGAGGAGACTCCCTGCTCCAGCCGGAGGGGCAGGTCCGCGTCTCTGTCCAGAGAGAAAGCACCTGTGGGCGCCGCAGGTCGCGGCAGAAGGCGCCCGCGCCGCCGGCTCCTTGGAGCCACCGCAGCTCACGAGGGCGACGGCTCCCCCGGGGCAGAGTCCCTTCCGAGCCTCTCAGCAGCCCGGGCGGCGGCTCTTCTCCTCGGTTCCCGCCGGCGATCCCCAGGGGGACGTCGCCAAGGGTCTGCGCACTCGAGCCGACGGTTCGGCGCGCGCTCTGGGCTCCGGTAGCGCCGCTGGGGTCCTCAAAAGGCCACCACGGCCCGCACGAGCACGTTCAGCATGCTGTCCGCGGGGCGGCAGGCCGGCGGGGCCTCGCACGCTGGGGGCGCCGTCGGGGGCGCGGCGGGGCTGCAGTTCAGCAGGCCGGAGAAGCGCCTCTGTAGCACGCGGGCCAGGTTGGGGAAGGCGCCCTCGGCTTGTGCGGGAGCGGGTAGGAGGCGGGCAGGAACCTCCGACGACGCGCCCTCCTCCTCCTCTTCTTCCAGACGGGCTTTCTTACTCGGGACCAAACCGGAGTCTCCGCCGTCGCTTAGGCTGCTGCTCCGCCGCTTGCGGCTTACTTTGGCGAGAGGCCGGGCACCGCGGGCAGAGGTCTCCTGGGCTCCCGATGCCTCCTCCTGCGTGTCCATGGGCTCCGGGGAAGGCTGCTCTCCGTCGGGGGGCGCTACTTCGGCAGGGGTTTCCACCTCCCGCGGCGGGTGCAGGCGGGGGTCCGGGGACTTGGCAGGAGGCGAGGACACCTCGGGCTCCTGGGCTTCCACCTTGGCCGAGAGGTAGAGCTCCCGGGCGCTGCGCATGACCAGCGACAGCTGCAGACTCCGATGAAGGCGCAGGCCACCACGCTGCATGCGTGAATGGTACATCTTCCACACCGACAGGGTCATGATGCGTTGAGCCTCCTTCTGCACCTCCATGGCAGCTCGACGGTGAGGGCAGCAGGTACTCCTGGGACGGACAGGACTGGCAGCAGGTGTACTATGAACAACACGCCAACCCACGCAGTGACACTGCTAGAACGCTCTGCCCGGGCTCCGGCCACCTGGGCCCTTTTATACTTAGAGTGACGTCATGAAGACGCCCCGCCCAATCAGAGGGCCGCATCCGGGCTTTCCACCACAAGGTGGCCACTCCTTAAAGCGACAGGGTGAAATTTAACCAGCCGGGAAGAGGGACGGAAATCCCGGCGAGAGGGACGATCTCCTCCAGCACACTGAGCTCTTGGGTGGTCTCCTTTCGTAGAATCCCGTGCGCAGGACCCGGGGAGAGGAATCGCGGGTGTGTCTCAAAAGCCCACCTATGTGCTCGCATCCGGCGACGCCAGCGGGTCGTAGGCGGCAAGTTTCCCTTTTCACTGGGGAAAACCCGCGTTGGAACCCGTACATCCCCCGTGGGCACCGCTCCTGGCTTCAACGAGCCGTCTAATTAATGTTTTCTGAATCAGTAACAATGCTGCCACTTACTAAGCGCCTACTACATGCCGGGCTTTGCTAAGGATTTTCCTTTCATTAACATCTGATCCCTCATCTTCACAGAACATACAAGATGTGTGCTTTCTTTACTTAGGAAAAACGAGGTAGTCACTCGCCCAAGTATTTGCTAAACGAATGAACGGGCTGCTGCGATGAAAGGGGGCCACTGGGGCCTCCAGCTCTAAATTATCTAGCGAATACCAGCCCTCCTCATTTTCCTGGTATTTAGGTGGTAAAGAGGCGGATGGCGTTGGCTGGTTCCAGAGGGAGTCACCCGGCGGGCAGCGGATATCCGCGGACCCCAGAGCACAGCCCAGATTGCCGTCCCCCACCCAGTACCAAGCATTCCCATTTCCTGAGGCACGACCTCCACAGATAGGCTTGGCCCTCGCGAGCCAGTGGACCCAGTGGCAGGACTGTCCCAGTGAACACGTGGCTGCTGACCCCCCCCAACCACCACCACCGACAATTGAGCAGTGCTCCGCCTTTCCTCTCGGGGAGGCGGGATAGGGGTGGGAGCTGAAAACTCAAAAAGCAGAAAAATCACCATCGGGCACTCCCTCCGCCACGCGCTATTGCTCCAAGAAAATTTAATTCCAGTTGAGAGGGGAAGAGACACACTGTTCCGATGGTTCAATTGATTCATGGTGTGGGCCCTTTAAGGAGTGCCCCCAGACGCACAACTGGCGAGCAGAGGCTTCCCGCCACTGGAGCCCGCTGACTTCCACAGCTAAATTTGGAAGGAGTGACGTCGAGCGGGCGCCAGGGCTGCTTCCGGCTGCCCATATAAGGGCAGGGGCCGGGATCGCCGGAGCCGCGGGCGGCCGCAGGCTTCCGGGCGGCGGGGGCGGGGCCTCGGCCGTGGGGAGCGCTGAGGGGGAGGTCTCGCCTCCTTCCCTCTGGGGCCCGGGGAGGCGGTTCGCCTGCTGCAGGCGGCGACCTCAGGGTTACCGCCGCGTCTCCCGGCGACCCCGACAGCACGAGGGGCGGCCGGCTGATCACCCTTCCCTCCGGGGAGGCCCCAGTTGTCCCCCACAATGTCACCCGGTTATTCCGTCCTCCCCCCCGCGGTCTCCCCCGGCCTTTAGGCACCCTCACGACGTCCCGCCTCTCGTCTCACGTGGGAATCCAATTACTCCCCCTCAAAAGGCCCCTCCCCATTCTGCCATCCTGCCACTCTCGGCGGTGACCTGCTGGGGACGCCTCCCTCCCCGTCCCGCTAGCCACCACGCAGATTCCATACTGACACCCCCAGCCCAGGCGCCATCCGTGGGACCCCACGTGGGGGCGAGCCTTCCCCTCGGACACCCAGCCCCGATCCTCGGGGGGGAGAGCCCTCCGTTCAGGCGATGGCTTCCTTCCATTCTCCCCAAAAAAGTGCTTTCCCGGGAGCCCCACCGAGGCGGCTCTGTCGCACAGGAGGTGACCCAGTAAGTCCCTCTCTAGACGGAGACGCCACGCGCACAGAGGTCCCCTGGAGTCCAGTGCCTGCGCAGCACCCCGCTCCCCGGCTCACAGACCTCGCACTCACGCAGAGACGGGCCTGGGAACCCACCTGCACACACGCTCTGGAAGGTGACCCTCCCGGACATCTCCGGGGTCCCCGCTCACTACCACCCCGCCCCCAGGCGATCTCAAGGCGACCCCTGCTCTCTCCTCCCTCCCACAGGCCTTTTGTAGGGAAGAAGAGTGGAGAGTCCAGCGGAAGTCCCCGCAGAATTCCCACTCCTCACTTCGCCCCCGCGGGGAGGAAGGGCACCGGCTCTCCCCGCACCGTTCCATAACCAGCCACCGGGACCCGGGGCTGGGACGATCTCCTGGGACGGCCACCGGGTGCCGACACTGGAGTCTGTTAAAAGGTTCAATGCGAGGCTGGGGCTGGGGCTCAGTGACAGCGCTTGCTCAGCACGTGTGAGGCACAGGGTTCGATCCTCAGCACCACATAAAAATAAACAAAGACACGCTGTCCACCTACCAAAAAAAGGGGGGGTTCAAGACCTAACCTTGTCTGACTAAACGGAGGCTATTATTATTTTTCATTGCCCAGAAGGGACACTGAGGTTATGGAGTAACGGCCCGAGGAGTTGGGTCTCGAACCGAGGCTGGGATCTCGGACCCAAACCCCTCCCGACACAACTAGGACACCACCCCCCACCTGGGAGAATACGATGATGATGGGGCGGAGCTTGCGAACAGGAAGCCGTCTTTGCCCACAACCAAGATGACTGCGAGGAGGACGGAAGTTGCCGTACTTCGGGATTCCAAGGACTCTCTTTCTCTTCTGGAGGGCCCGCTCTCTATGGTAGCGCGTCGAGGGCCGGGTTGGCGGCGGATTCTCCTGGCTAGGAGGGAACCAGCTATCAGTCACAAGGAGGGGGTTCGACTGGGAGGGAGGGGGACTGACATGTCTCTCGAAGACCCTTTTTTTGTAGTCCGAGGGTGAGTGATAGTGCTGGGGGAGGGCGGAAGGTCATCAGTCCCTTGCCAGCCAGTGCATGGCCAGACGTTCTGGGCACGGCTGCACCATCGGGGTGCACGGGTCGCCCCGTGGCCGAGTGGGAGGATTCGCAATGAGATATGGAGGTCTCTTGAACCCCCCATTTCGTTTGGGGGCGAGCGAGAGGGCCGTCTGCCCACAGCCGCTCCCACTGTGCCCCTGCCCGCAGCGAGGTGCAGAAGGCGGTGAACACCGTCCGCGGGCTGCACCAGCGCTGGTGTGAGCTCCTGCAGGATGGCGCGGCGGTGGGACGCGAGGAGTTGGACTGGACCACCAATGAACTGCGGAATGGCCTGCGCAGCATTGAGTGGGACCTCGAGGACCTGGAAGAGACCATAGATATCCTGGGGTTTTGGAGGGGTGGCATGGGAGAGTCCATTGCTGTAGCATGTGCTCAGGGAGCCCACCTTCTGGGAGACTGGACACCGGGAAAGTATTGAAGGCTGAAAAGTGAAGGCCCAGGGGTGTATCTAGCTCTGGCCTTGACCCTTGACTCAGCCCACGCATAGTGGAAGCCAATCCAGGCAAGTTCAAGCTCCCAGCAGGGGACTTGCAGGAGAGAAAGGTGTTCGTGGAGCGCATGAGGGAAGCTGTTCAGGTGAGGAGAGGTCCTGATGGGGTGAGTGTGGGGAGGTTAGGAATGTCTGTACTAGCTAATGCTGCCCTCACTCCCAGGAAATGAAGGACCACATGGTCAGCCCAGCAGCCATAGCCTTCATGGAGAGGAATAACAGAGAGGTAATGCATCCAGACCCAGCACACACCTCTAAGTCTGTCTCGGGGACCCGTTGCTTTGAGTGCCAGCCCGATCCGTGTGTTTGCCTGCCTTCTCTGTGTTTCTACACCAGTCTCTTCTGCATTAATATCCATCCTCTGTGCTGTTCTCCAGCCGCCTACCTGCATGCTCTTTCTGGGTGTGTACACCTAAGCACTCCTTATCTGCAGGTTCCACATCCTCAGACTCAAGCAATCAAAAACATTTGGAAGAAAAAAAAAGTGTCTATACTGAATATGTGCCTGCTTTTTTCTTGCATTTCCTAAACAATACAGTAAAACAAATACATATTATTTACGTTGTATTAGGTCTAAGCTAGGAATGATCTGATGTCTATTCGAAGATATGTAGTGATTCTATATGAATGTTATGACATTTTACATAATGGGCTTAAACATCCTCAGATTTTCGTATCTGTGGAGGTCCTGGAACCCAAATCGTGAAAATATCAAGGAACAATCATAATTTCAGTGTGTAGTTCTCTAAGTATACTGGCTTTTTTTTTTTTTTTTTTTTTTTTGCAGGAGAGGGCCTGTATACACTTGTCCTTTGTGCTGACCCATTTGCTCAGTGTGCGGCTGCTTCCAGGATATATGCCTATGTTTTTCTCTTTGCATGCACCTGCCCACTGGGGTGTGTGCACTTGACCTCTGAGTACATCTCCATCTCACCTCCATGCGTACACTACTGCCCTCTGTGTCCGTGTTCTCATTCTCACTGCCACTTGTCTACCTTTTTTTTTTTTTTCCACACCAGGGATTGAACCCAGGGCCGCTTAACCACTGAGCCATATCTCCAGCCCTTTTTCATATTTTATTTAGAGAGAGTCTCACTGAGTCGCCTAGGGCCTCAGCAAGTTGCTGAAGCTGGCTTTGAGCTTTCAATCCTCCTGTCTACCTTTTCCCTGTGTGTTACCTGTCCATTCTCTGTATTGGAACACACCAGTCCTTCTCCATCCCCTCACAGATCCACACGATCAGGGAGTGTGCGGGTCTGAGGCCCATGTCAGTTTGCCATCCTGAAGCAGTGCCCACATGCCCTTCCAGATGTGCCGCCGTGGAGATTAAATCCAAACTCTGAAATACAGCTATTGATAAAATAATAACAAGTGTTCTGTCGAGTAAACACTCAGTGGCCAGGGGATGTAGCTCAATGGTAGTGTGCTTGCCTAGCATGCACAAGTCCCTGGGTTCAATCCCCAAGACCTCAAATAAATAAAATAAACACAGGCCAGGCTGTATCTTGTGCTAAATGCATTGCAATTAAAAAAGGGAAAAAAGAGGGGCTGAGCGTGTAGCTAAGGGTTAGAACTTATACTTAGCATGTGTGAGGCCCTGGGTTCAATTCCAGGCACAGAAAAAAAAATTAAAAAGCAACAAAATAAAATAAGTGCATTGATTGTATTTGTCTGCACCCAATCCTGCGAAACTGGGAAGCAGGGACTGAGGAACAGGGAGGAAGAGCCACTTGACTGTTGACTGTCTCTTCCCAGCATTGTGAAATAATTAAAAAATATAAAAGGCAGATTTATTAACAGTGTATAGGGCACTGTTCTAGGTGTTACTAATTAATGAGATTCTCATTCCAACCCCAGAAAACAAGAATTACAGATCTCATTTTATCAGGAGAAAACAGGCACAGGGAGATCAATGTCATGGCCTTGGGGCTATTTTGCTAGGAAGTGGCAGGTCTAGGAAGCAGTCCCACCTGAGACTGCTTCCTGATTAACTATGGATGTCCCACAAACATGCACCTGGCCCACTCTGCATGGGTGTCCCTCCCTGTATTCCAGGAGGTGCTGATGGCCAAGCTAGATGCTCAGAAGTCACACAGTGACCTGCTGGATGCCAGTGTGGTCTCAGCCACCTCACGCTACATTGAGGAGCAGCAAGCCACCCAGCAGGTTTGTTGTGGGTGGCAGAAGGCCCTGGGATCCTCTGGACCACTCAGGGGTCCCTGCTCACCACAGCTACCCCTCCACCCTGCAGTTGATCATGGAGCAACAGGACCAACAGCTGGAAATGGTGTCTGGGAGCATCCGGGTTCTGAAACACATGTCAGGCCGTGTTGGGGAGGAGCTGGATGAACAGGGCGTGTAAGGCCAGGACCCAGGGGGTGGGCTCGGTGCCCTAGTGTGCATGGGCCCTTTTGAGTCTGATGCCATCTTGGTCTTGGCAGCATGCTGGATGCCTTTGCTCATGAGATGGACCTCACCCAGTCCCAGATGGACAGGGTTCTCAGGAAGATGGCCAAAGTGTCCCACATGACCAGTGGTAAGTGCCCTTCGAAGGGGGTAGATCTTGGACTGGGGAAGGTGATGGGTGGTTCCACTTACCTTAACCTGTGACCTCTGACCCTTCTGTCCCCAGACCGCAGACAGTGGTGTGCCATTGTGGTGTTGCTGGGAGTGGTACTCCTGGTTCTTATTCTGCTCTTCTCTCTCTGACCTGGGCTTTTCCTGAGGCACTGGCCCCTGGTGCCCTCAGAACCACCCAGCCCTTTTGAGCTGACCCTGCCCCCTGGGAGGAGGGTGTGGAGCCTGGGGAGCTCTCATCTAAAGCCAGTAGGACTGTCAGGGCCACAGGCAGGCACCTTGCCACTGGTCCTGTCTCGAGTGCGCTCAGGGAGTAGTGGAGGCAGGGATCCCTGACACACTCCACCCCACTTCTAGTGCCCAAAGCCATTTGCCCTGTGCCTTCTACATGTGCCAACTTGGAAATAAAACCCTAGCTTTTCATAAGTTTGGATCATTCAGCGTGTTGACTATAATTGAGACTGACCCCTGATGGGACTCTTGTTCTCTTTTTTTTTTTTCCCATTTTATTTGCACGTATTTTATGCTGAATCGATTCCTGTGCAATAAGTTTTTGTTTCTTCTGGGATCTTTTTCTTCTGTGAAACCTCCTCTTCTGGTTTAGGAACTATCTGTTCCTTTTCAGTGATGCTCACTGCCATGTGGCAGGGGAGGTCACAGGGGTTAATCTACCAAGAGCTCTGTAAGTGCAGCAGCCCATTTTGGGTGCCCCGTTCACCTGTGTGTTCAATGATCAGAGAATCTACCTCTGAACCCTTCAGTTCAGCATTATTTTACATTTCAAAGCATGTGCAGCAAAATATCAGTATTCTTTGGGTTGCCAACCCTGTGTCTAGCCCCATGGTTTGGCCTGGGCTCACTTCCCAATTCTACCAGAATGGCACACATTGTTTCTATAAAAAGATGTAAAGCAGGCACTTGGTGACTTTTCAGATATGTATATCCTCTGTGGCCTGGATGATTTCACATGTGTTCTTAAAGTGAACAAGATGATTTGAACCTTTTTTCTTTTTGGACTGGGGATTTGGCCCAGGGGCACTTAACCACTGAGCCACAACCCAGTCCTTTTTAGAGACAAGGAGAGTCATGGAGCTGCTTAGGGCCTCGCTTTTGCTGAGGCTGCCTTTGAACTTGCCATCCTGTGTCAGCCTCCAGAGCTGCTGGGATTACAGGTGTGGGCCACCATGCCTGGCTCAATATCTTATAGGTGTCCTATATAGAGGATGATGGGACAAAATGGGTTAATAATGGAAAATTTGAAAATTTCTGCCCAGCATGGTGGCACACACCTGGAAGACCACACAAGAGAAAACATTTTTTGGTTCCAGATGTGGTGCATGCCTGTAGTCCCAGCTATTTGAAAGGCTGAGGCAGAAGGATCACAAGTTCAAGGCCAGGCTGGGTACTTTTTATTGAGACTGTCTCAAAAAGGGACTGAGATGGTCTGAGGTTGTGGTTGAGTGGTAGAGCGCTTGCCTAGCATGTGTGAAGCACTGGGTTCGGTCCTCAGCATCACATAAAAATAAAGGTATCCTGTCCACCTAAAACTAAAAAATAAAATAAAGGTTAAAGAAAAGGGGGACTGAGATGGAAGTCCCTTCTCTATCATCTTACAAGATCTCGGTTGCTGAGCCTCTCCCATGGAAAATGTCTTCTCTGGTGCTGCAAATCAAACACAGGAGCTTTTGCGTACAAAATGTACACTCTACCAGTTACACCCCAGTGTGGTTTCCACTATTTTTCCTTTTTGGGCACTGAGAACTGAACTCAGGGGTGCTTTTACCACTGAGCTGCATCCCTAGCAAACCTCCCTTTTGTTTATGAATTTGAGAGTCTTGCTAAGTGATCCAGGCTGGCCTTGAACTCACCTTCCTGGCTTATCCACCCAAATTGCTGGGGTTGCATTAGTGTGCCTCCACAAACATTTTCTCTTTTCTTCAAATCATGGGAGTGCTGGCTGTAAACGGGGTGAAGGGGCAAGTGTGTACAGGACTTCCTGGGTTCTAGAGGACTGAACTGTGGGGGCAGTAAGCCAGCATCACAGTAAATTCTAGATAGTTGCAGCTTTTTTTTTTTAAAAAAAAATCAGGAACTGAACCAGGGCTGCTAAACCACTGAGCCACATCCCCAGCCCTTGATGTATTTTTTATCTAGAGATAAGGCCTCACCAAGTTGCTGAGGCTGACTTTGAACTCATGATCCTCCTGCCTCAGCCTCCCAAACCAGAGATTACAGGTATGTGCCACAGCGCCTGGCTGCCCCTCTAGCTTCTGAGGGGCTGTCTAGGAACCCACAGGTGCAGATCAGAGGAGGAAGAGTGGTGGCTCGTGCCCACAGGGCTAGCCCAGGCGCACCCCCTGGAGTGAGCAGCATGCTGCAGGACTGTTACAAAGGCGTTCAGTTTATTCTCCTCATCAGCATCACTGATATTTTCATGGTTCACATTTCCCAACGCCGCTCCTCTCCTTACAGTAGTTAATGTGCAATCTCACTTAGGGCCGGGGAGGGGTGGGGGCTAGGCCCAGGGCAGGGAGGGCGTTGGCACTTCACGCAGGACAGGGTGGGCAGACCAGTGGTCTGTCCCCTGTGAAAGAGGCGTGGGTGGGTAGACGGCCAGTGGAGTTGGGGGAGGGCCCTACTTTTTTTTTTTTTAAATCTGGTAGGTGGATGATTCTCCACTTGTATTTCTTCCTGGCTGCCCAGGGTTGGGGGACCATGCAGCGCAGGGCAGGGGAGGAGAGGAGAGAGGAGGGGAGGGGAAAGCAGCTGGCCGCCAGGGCAGGGAGATGTAGGGGTGGCTCCGGGGGTAAGGCACAACCCTGTCTTTGGCTCTCCTAGTGAGGAGTTTCCTCCCCTGCACCCCCTGCCCAGACCCCTCTTCCCACCCCCAACCCCTAGACACCCTCACAGTCCCGGGAGCCAGGAGCACCTCCTGGGGTCCCTGAAACAAGTGGGCCCTGCCACCCAACCCAGTGCTGCGGGGCTCAGAGAAGGAGCGGGTTGGGAGAAGACCCTAGTCCCAGAGAGCTGCCCCCTCACTAAGGCCTGGAAGGAGGGGAGCTGACTGGAGTCCCCACCTGCCCCTCACCTTGGCTGGGCCCAGCTACTTGCCAAGTGACCAGGATATTGTGCTTTGGGATCAACGCTGGGGTGGGGCGTCAGGCCAGGGGAGGGGGGGGAGTGGGGGTGCGACTAAGGTGCTTGTGCTTTAGCTGGGGGTGTCGACTCCCCCCACACACTTGGGCCACCAGAGGCTAAGGTGCTGGGGACAGGTCAGGAAAGCAGAGTGTCGGGACCCCAGCCAGACCTGACACATCTGACAACCCCCATCCCTGCAACAAGCAGATATCTGGAGGGACCCCCTACAGTCTAGGAGGGGGTGCTGCTGGGTTGGGGGTAAAGGTCTCCAAATCAGATTCCAAGGGTCCAACCCTGGCTGGCCCCCACCCGACCTCCTGCCATCCCCTGCCTTGGGAGAGAGGTGGCTGGGAGCTAGGGGCAGGCAGAAGTTTGGGAGGAGGAGGAGAGGAGGACAGGGCAAAGAAAGCAAGCCGAGATGGCGAAATGATGATGTGTCTGTGTTGGGGACCCCGGGTTCACATGTAAAACTCAAAAAAACCAAACACTACCTCTAGGCGAAGTAAAAAGAGGAATGGTGAGAGAATTTCACAAATGACTGCTAACAATGAATGTGGGCCCTGCCCTGCCTGGCCACCCAGCCAAGGCCCGGGACATCCTTTAGCTGTCGCCTGGGTGGGGAGTGAGGGGGAAGCTGGTTGGACCACAGGAGCCCAGGTGATGGCTGAGACTAGGAACCCACAGTGGAACCACACCCACACTCCATGCACCCACACATTCAGCCTGACCCAGCACCCCCAACCTGCCTTCCACAGCCCCCCGGGGAATGAGGGGGACCTCAGACACAGTCCCGTTGGTTTGAAAAATAAAAGGAAATCTTATACTTCAATATTTCATTCGCTAAAAAAATGTTTTAAAAAGTATGTACAGGAGGTGGGGCTGGGAGCCCTGCTGTGGGGCGGGGTGGGGGAGTGGGCAGTAGCCCCCCCAGCCTGCTCCCCTGGGTTCAAACCCTGGTCTTACCGCCTCTCATGTTTTCACTAGTTTTTGAAAGCAAACCTACACACACACACACATGCACACCCACACGCTCTGCGAGCCCCGGAGAGCTATCCTGTCCTCTGAGACCCTCCCTCTGCCCCCAAGAACTCCCTCACTTAGGACCAGCCTCTCTCAGGCCCAGGGGACTGGCAGGGGCAACAGAGACTGAGCGCAGGGTGGTGGGAGGGAGGGGCACTGGGCCACCACTGGCCCCTGCCCTTAGTTCAGTCTTGGGATTTCTGAGCCTTCTCTGGGCCCCATTTCCTCAGCTGTAAAGTGGACAGTCCCTCTAAGCCTCGCCTATCCTAGCCCCCAGGTACAGGGACAGACGAGGGAGACAGGAAGGCGCTTTTGGAGACTTGGAAGCACTGGGAGGTGGTAGGAGGGGTCCTGAGAGCCCCCAGGGCCCCCTTGAGTCCCAAGGGGCTGCAGTGAGGGGACAAGGTGGCCCAGAGCCTGGGAAAGGGACCTTTCACAGGTCTCCCAGGCTGGCCCCTTCCCTGTGCCAGGCCTGGTGAGCAGGGAATGACTACTAAGGGTTAGGAAGGGGGAGCAAGGTGCTCCCCACTGCATGAGTGTGTTAAAGAAGGCAACAGGCCCTGGCACCACCTGCCCCATCCTCCCCAGCCTGGCTCGCATTGGGGGAAGGGGATGGGACAGGGAGGCAGAGGGGCTGGGAGCATGCAGCACCCCCCAAGGGTCCTGGGGAGGGACAGACAGTAGCTCGTGACCAAGATGGTGGGCGGGTGTGTGAAGGGAAGGGGGAGTGTGACAGCCCCTTGGGGAGGGTCCTGTGGGGTTACTGGAGGACCTCAGCAGAGGGGCCGGCCTCGCCGTCGTGGCTGGCTGTCTCAAAGCCGTGTTCCATGCTCATCATGTCCGGCTCCATCTTGCCTGTGTCACTGATGAAGGTGGTGTAGGCGTCACCCTCTGCCAGCATTGGCTTGGCCTTGGGCATCCAGCTCTTGCGCACCACGCGGCGGGCGTTGGTGCACATGTCAGCAGCAATGGCGTTCATCTCACTCTCCTTGAAGTTGGGGGCAAAGTTCTGGCAGTAGTCTGTGCAGGCAGAGCAGGTGGCTCAGGCCCATGAGGCCTGCCCTCCCACTGCACGGCTTTCCCAAATCCCCACAGGGAGACCACTGACCGCTCCCAGTGGTGGCTGACTGAGCTCCTAATAACTGGCAGCACTGTCTGGTGGCCACCTCTTTGGGGAATTTGCCTGGCTGTTTAAACCTTTCTGTGCCTGCCCAGGGTTTGAGACCCTCCTGCCACAGACCCCCTGGCCTCCCTTTAGCACTACCCAACTGTGGAGAAACCGCTGTAGTTACAGCCCTCTTCCCAACAAGCAGAGGAGATTGAGCCTCAAAATTCTAGTTTTTTTTTGTTTTGCTGGGATTATAAACATGTGCCACCACACCCAGCTCAGCATCCTTCTTAACACAAAACTGCACCCATCCATCAGCGCCCGCACTGGATAAAAACACAGCTGCCTCAAGTCTGCCTCAGACCCCAACCTGCACTCCAGAAGGCTGGATACTCACACTTGACGGCATGGAGAACACGACTGTCCAGTGGTTTGCGTCTGGGATCATTGGTGGAGGAACGGATGCCGGTACCACAGCTGTTGGCCAGAGTGTTCCTGGGGAATAGAGGGGATAGGGTGAAAGGAGTCAGGGCTCCTGGTGGTGATGGGGTAGAGGACACCCACCTCCATCCTAGGGCTCTGGCAAGGGTCTCACCGGTCAAAGAAGGAGGCCAGGAGCCGTCGTAGCAGGACCTTGTGCCGAGTGCCTGCGCTGACGTGGCAGTTCATGAGCTGTGCCCTTGTGATGTACACATTGGTACCTGGTAAGGGAAGCAGAGGTTGACCGAGGGTGCTCCAAACTGCCAACCCCCATATGGCCTGAGCCGGAGCCCTTCTCAAGCACCGCTCCTTACCAGGCCCTTCTGTGTTGGGCTTTGGGTCCCACCCACTGGCCCCAGAGCAGTCAGGTGGGGTTCCTCAGACCTCTTCTGCCATGTCAGTGCTCAGGAAAGGACAGAAAGAGTACAGGCACACCCATGGGGACCTGCCACCTGCCAGGCCCTGCAGCAAGTCTGGCTTGACACGTGTGTGGCAGGGGTTCTGACCATCCCCAGCCAAGGAGGCCAAGACTCAGCAAGGTCAGCTGGGAGCAGAGAGAGGCCCCAGGTCACTGTGGCAGTTAGCCCCGAAGGCAGCTAACCTACCCCATGTGTGCACCAGCTCCCAGAGCCAGAAACCTCAGAATCTACCTGAGAGGTGCCTCAGTTCATGTCACCTCCATTTTCTATGAGTGGTACTAGACAATGAACCAGGGTGCTTTATCACCGAGCTACATCCAGACCCACTGCCCACTCTAGCTTTTTACAACTGGAGACAGGGTTTTGCTAAATTGCCTAGGCGCCTTGAACTTGGGATCCTCCTGCCTCAGCCTTCTGAGTAATTGATATTACAGGCTGGGCCACCATCAGCCTAGCTAACTCACCTCATCTTTTTTTTTTCCTTTTTTCCATACTGGGGATCGAACGCAAGGCCTTGCACGTGCCAGAAGAGCACGCCAATGAACCACAGCTCAGCTCTCAGCTCATCTAACTGCACCCCTGGTCTTGCCAGGATGGGCAGCTACCAACATCAAAGTCCAGATGGGGAAACTGAAGGGCCGAGGGCTTCAGCTGCCCCAGGATAGTAGCTTCTAACCAACACAGGACATGAGGCCTGAGGACACAGAGCGGGGGGATCTAGGGAGACAGTGGGGCCAGCACACCTGTTACCAGCTCCAGCTTCTCTGAGGGGTCACCCTCATCGTAGAGCTTGGGGTGGCAACGGTTGCCTATCTGGTTGATGAGCTCAGCTGGGAGAGATGCCAGGTCTTGCCGTACCCGAATACGACTTCGGGACTCTGGGGCCACCTGTTCCGGGAGGGCCTCCACCTTCTCGGCTGTGGGGAGAAAGCAGAGTGTACATGTGAATGTGTGCACCTGAGGGCGTAGGGCAGGCGTCCCAGGCAGGGAGCAGGGCCTCACCCGTCTGGCCGACGTTCATCATGCTGTACATGGTGTACATGTTGCAGATCTGCCGGTACTGCTCGTCGGCGCCCTCCTCGCCCGCGTCCTCCTCCTCGTCCTCCTCGTTGTGGTAGGAGCCAGGGCTGTCACTGGTGTAGGCGCTGGAGGTGCCGGGGCTTGTCCGCTCTGATGTACTGGGCCCGCTCATCACACCCCCCGCTGCCACTGCTGCTGCCACCACCGGGGCCGGCTGGGGCGTCCGGTTTGTGGCCAGGTCCGGCGTGGAGAACTTGGCCATCTTGCGACTGCCGTTGCCACTGCTGCTGCCCCCAGCCTCCTTCTGGCTGCTGTCCCACAGCCTCTTTGCCACAGGTGTGCACTGCACAGAGTCCGACTCTTGCTGCTCCGTTTTGACCCGAGACACGAGGGGCAGTGGTGTGCTGCAGGCTGGCCAGCCTGATGTTTGTGCCACAGGGCTCTGGGGCTCAGATGATGGGGCCTCTTCGGCGTGCAGGCCCTGGGAGTCGCAGCTCGGGGAGCTCACCTTGAGGAAGAACTCAGTGCCCTTCTCCATGATTTCCTGGATCTGCAGGAAGCCAGCTGTGTATATGAGCAGGAACTGGTCACCCATGTTCATGCTCAGCCGACCCGTGTAGCAGAACGTGAGGATCTGCTGGAAGGACTGGGGCTGCACGGCTGCCGGCAGCTCCACCACGGCGCTCCGGCTGCTGTTGAACAGGTCCCGGAAGTAGGAGCTGCTGGCAGCCAACACAGCCCGGTGGGCCTTGAAGGCGTGGCCCTTGACCACCACAGACACGTCACAGTACAGGCCTTGCAGCCGCTGTTCGTTGAGGCACTCGAGGATACTGTTGCCAAAGTTTGGGATCTCCATCTGCAGGGTCTGGGCCATGGCGGCAGCTGCAGACAGGGAGACACGGGAGCAAGTTGAGCAGCAAAATCCAGTGCTGGCTGAACCCTGCTTCATGGACCCCGACTGCTGCAGGAAGCCACACAAAAGCCCAGACACCCACGCGGCAGAATCAAGCAGATTCCTTCTACACCAGCAGACTTGCCTTTATGAAACTCAGCTGTCCTTTGGTGGGGGACTAGTTCCAGGAACCCCAGTAGATATCAAAAATCTAATTCCCAAGTCCTTCAAATGGCACAGTATTTTACAGAACCTTTGCAATCGTCCTGTGGACTTTACTTACTTACTTGCCAGGGGCCTTATGGGTTTAACCCAGGGTTTGCACGTGCTGGGCAGGTACTCTACCTTTTATTTTAAGGCTGGGTCTTGCTAAATTTTATCCAGGCTAATGTCAAACTTGCCATCTTCCTGCCTCAGTGTCCAGAGTAGCTGGGATTAGAAGCAGGTGCTACTGCAACTGGCTTACTTTAACATTTTTGTGGCACAGGTGATTGAACCCAGGATCTCAGGCAGGCAAAGTGGACATTCTACCACTTATCTATACCCTGGCCACTCACATACTTTAAATAATCTCTAGATGGCTTACAATACCTGATACAATGTATATAAATATATTAATTAGGTAATAATGACAAGGAAAAGTCGCACGTTTAATGAGATGCAACACACACACACACACACACACACACACACATTTATTTAGCTGTAGTTAGACACAATAGTTTTATTTTACGTCTTGCTGAGGATTGAACCCAGGGCCTTGTGCACATGAGGCAAGCACTCTACCAACTAAGCTATATCCCCAGCCCCTTCTGAATATTTTTGATCCTTAAAATACTTTTTAAAAAATCTTTTCAATCTATTGTTGATTGAATCCATGATGCCAAGCTCACAAATACTGAGAGCCAGTCAACTGTACTGTCAAATAGGCAAAGCCATGCTGTGACCAGGGTGGCTATATTCTGTCCCCTGCAGATAGAAGACCCGTGGCACACTTATCCACATGTACTTGAACATTCAACAGGTCTACCTAAGTGCCTGGAAGGGAGACAGCTGAGATGCAGAAGTGCACCATGTATGACATCTCTGGACACTGACAGGTAAATACCAGGAGCCAAAGTCACAAGTGTCAGCTCTGCCAAGAGATTACACATAAGCCCGAGCTCCCCTCCAGCAGCACAAGGATGGACAGCAAGTGCTGTAAGGACGAGAAATCAGAATCCCCAGACACAACAGGCGAGAAGATGAAAGGGGGAAAGTCATTCCTTGGTGTTAAAGTCCTTCTGGGTTCAATCCCCTGTTCAAAACAAAACAAAACAACACACCCAACAGCCAAAAGGTGGAAACAGAAATGTCTATTAACTAATGAATGGATTAAAAAAATTTTAAATGTGGCACAGGGCTGGGCGGTAGCCTAGGCTACACGCTCACCCAGCATGCACAGGACCCAGGCGTGCACCCCCAGCACGTAAAACAAACCAGTATATACCCACAACGAATATGATTTAGCCATAAAAGGGAAAAAATTTTGACACATGCCACAACATGGAAAACCCCGGAAAACATTGTGAAGAAGCCAAAGGACTACATATCGTATGATTCCACTTACATAAAACATCCAGAATAGGCAAATCCATTTAGACAGAAAGCAGATTAGTGGTTTCTGTTTTTAGGGAGGGGAAAATGAAATGGGGCCTTGCTGAGAGCAAAGGGACATAGGGTTTATTCTTTATATACTGAAAGTCGTCAGATGGGCCCAGTGGTGCCCGCCTGAACTCCCAGGAAATCACGAGTTTGAGGCCAGCCTCAGCATCTTAGCAAGGCCCTAAGCTACTTAGTGAGACTGTGTCTCAAAATAAAAACAGCCAAGGACATAGCTCAGTGGAGCAGTATCCTGAATTCAATCCCCAGTACTGGGGGGTGGGGGTGGGGGAGTCTAAGTTAACTATGGCGATAGTTGCAAAGCTGAATATACTAAAAACTACTGACTTAGTGAGACCCTCAGCAATTAGGAAGACCCTGCTTCAAAACAACAACAAAACAAAAAAAGTAAAAAGGGCTGGGGATGTAGCTCAGTGATAAAGCACCCCTGGGTGCATCAGTACCAAAACCAAAATAAAACAAGACTCTGTACACTTTAAATGGATGCACTATATGGCATATCTCAAGAAAGCTATTAAAAAAAAGGCAGCCATGTAGCTCAGTAGTAGAGAACTTCCTAGCGTGTATGTAGCCCTGGGTTCCATCCCCAACACTGCAAAGGAAAAAAGAAACTGCAGCTGGTATCCTCTGGGCAAAACTAAGGAATGAGATCTGCAAAGTAGACTTTTTGGATTTTGCATTTTGAACCTGCTTATTTGCAAAAAAAAAAAAAAAAAAAAAGATAAGTACTATGTTTTTAAAAAGAAGAAATGGGAATTGATGCTGCTCAGGGAACTCACTCCCCTATTCTGGGCATCTCTCAATATGTGAACTTCTGTATAAGATCCTGTACTACCTCTTTCAGGGAAAATAAGTGAAAAGGTAGAAAGGCCAAGTCCCTTACTTGGGGATGATCTTCTTTGAAGGAAGAGAAGTGTGGGTTGATAAAGTGACCCCACTAGCAGAAGGGAGTCATTTGCAATTCTGTAGTCTGTAGAGGGAGGTGGTCCCAAATGGACAGGATGCAGGTAAGAAGGCTTCTGCTGGTGAGAGAAGCCTGAGCTGACTCTGGGAAAAAGAGGAGAAAGGCAGAGAGGGTATGTGCAAAGTCCCTGAGGCAGGAATGGAATCCCAGTTGTTCTTTCCTCACTCTGAGTTAGCTTTCATATTACATCTGGTTGATTCTGAAAGGGCTGCTATGAGGAACAGAAGCAGCTTGTGGCCAAGGCTCAGAGGTGCATGCTGTAGCCAGGTGCACCAGAACGAACCTGCTCCTGGGACCAGGGGCTCCAAATCTCTGCCTTCTGTCTGAAAACTGAGGTCTGTAAAGCCAGCTCAGTTCTGCAAACTCAACCTGAACTGAGATGCTATTAGGTGCTAGTTGCTCTGGTAGAGTAGGAGGGAGACCCAGGCCCTGCCCCTCCCTGGCCTGCATGACTTATACATTGTTGTAAACACTGTATATATAGTTGCTACAAATAGGGACAAGGAAAAAAAAACAGCTGTATGTATTCATCAGAGACAAAAATGTTTTCCCTAATTTTTAAAAAGTACTCTACCACTAAACTACATTTCTAGCCCTCTCCAGTATATTTATTTTTCAGTTTTCGGCAGACACAACATCTTTGTGTGTATGTGGTGCTGAGGATCAAACCTGGGCCGCACGTATGCCAGGTGAGCGCGCCACCGCTTGAGCCACATCCCCAGCCCCTCTCCAGTATTTTTTGTGGGGGGAAGTACTGGGGATGGAACTCAGGGGTACTTGACCATTGAGCCACATCCCCAGCCCTATTTTGTATCTTATTTAGAGACAGGGTCTCACTGAGTTGCTTAGCGCCTCGCTTTTGCTGAGGCTGGCTTTGAACTTGCGATCCTCCTGCTTCGGCTTCCTGAGCCACTGGGATTACAGGTGTGTACCACCATTGTCCAGCTTGGTGGCGCATATCTGATTCAGTATTTTTTGAGGTTCGGTGCATCTGAGTATGCAGAAACCGCAGATACAGGAGGGCCAACTGAACAGTTATTGCTTAAAGGAGGACGTCAGCTTCCTAAGGGCAGGTGTCCTGGCTGGTTCTGTTCAAGATTAAAACAGAGCTAGATGCTCAACAAATATTTGTAAATTTTAAGAGAACACTGTAGAGACGCCAGGCCTGTGGTGCACACCAGGAGCCCCAGCTGTTTGGAAAGTCGAGGCAGGAGGATCACAAATCCCAAGTCGGCCTGGCAATGCAGCAAGACCCTGGCACAGAAAATAAAGAAAAAAGAAAAACAGGAGGAGGTAGAGTGCTTGCCTCCCTGCGCAAGGCCACAGATTTCATGCCCAGCACCAGCAGAATTAAAAAAATAAAAATAAAAGCAGCAGCTGATAGAAAGCACCAAGATAGGAATAAATGACTGGAGTTCGGGACGCTGCAACTGGCAGAGAGGCCCAGCAGGGCCCCACCAGCTCCGCCCAGTGCCCAGTGGCGCTGCAGACTTCTCCATTCACTCAATGGCTCACAGCAGCGAGGCTTTAGAGGTGGGGTACAGCCCAATCCCTCCCCAGGAACAGGCACAGGAAAAGCTGCACGTGAACAGGCCTGGTGCACAGGGATCATTGACAATGTGGACTTTGAGGTTCTGGGGAAAGAGGAGGCAACAAGACACTAGTGGGGCTGAGGGAATCCGGGCCCCCCTAAGAGATAGGCCACCTCATGAGCCTAGCAGCCAGGACTGGGAGCTCTGACAGTGATTCAGGGGTTGGTGGTGCAGGAGTAACTGGTTTGCAGGCTCAGCTGATGGGCTCACAGGAACCCTCCCTGCTCCATGTGACTCGGGAGTAGGGCAGTGGGTCTGGGAGCTGCAGACATCTGAATGTGGCCTTGCCCCAGCACCAAGTGAAGAAGGTCACTGTCAACAGGGAGGATGGGGGTGGAGGGAGACTGCAGAGTGCACTGGGCCCCGAGCGTTCGCTCACACTGGGTCCGCAGGAGAAACAGGTCCTCAGCAGCTGGCACCTGGCCATATCGCTTGCTGGGTGGAGCAGTGGTGGCATAGTGAGGGAACGAGGCCTCTAAACCTGCCAGTGATCTGTCCCAGAGCTGAGCCCACAGAGCAGCCAGCAGTGAAGGATGACTCTGCTCTCGCTGCCTCACAGGGAGGACGGTGCACTTCCCAATATCTCCAGCCCAGGCCCCAGCACATCTCCCAACTGGACCCAAGGGCAGTCTCCATGACCTCCAGACAGTCACTTAAATATTTGCCAAGTCCCCGCTGGGGCATGAAGTACTTGGGAGCCCCGGTCCCTGCTTCTGGAGCTCACAGCCCAGCTGATGTGCCCACTCACGCAGGGTCAGGAACAGGACAGAGGCTCTGACTTTGCCCATAAGAGGTGACACCAAGATCTGGAGGGGCGGTGGTGGGCTGGGAGCGCTGGTACTTCTAAGAAATGTTGCTGCTTCTGGAGGATCAGCTCAGTTTCAGGGCTTTGTTACGGACTGAACTGTGTCAAAAGACAAATTCACATGGTAAAGTTCTAACCCTCAGTTGCCCATCTTTGGAGGAGGGATTCTTTTATTTTGTGGGGGTGGACACTGGGGATTAACCCAGGGACACACTGCCACTCATCTACT